GGCAGCCCAGCTGCAGGTTGAGCTGTTGTTCAGCATCTTAGCTGTAGAGGGCAGCATCACTGGCCCTCATATGTGGGATCCGAACCGCGATCCTCTGGTGTCCCAAGCCAGTTCTTAACCAACACGCCACTCAGCCGGCCCTCCAATATTTTTTTGAGTAGAAGAGTAGACTTACATATTCACAATGAAGTATTATATTAGATATAGAGTGGTTTGTTGTTGTTTTTTGTTTGTTTGTTTGTTTGTTTTGGTAATAGACTTTAGAGCAGTTTTAGATTTACAGCAAAATTGAGTGGAGGGTACAGAGATTTCTCATACACCCCCTGCCATCAACATCCCCACAGAATAGATGCAGGTTTTTCACAGATGCTCGTTATCAGGTTGAAGAATTTTCCTTTTATTCCTGATGATCATGCATGGGTGTTGAACTTTGTCAAGAGCTTTTTCAGAATCTATTGATTTTTTTATAGTCTGTTGATGTGGTAGATTATGTTAATTTTCAAATGATAAGCAAAACTCATTCCTGGGGCAAATCCAGCTTAGTCATGATGTGTATACTTTATGTTTTGCTTGATTCAGTTTACTGATACCTTCTGTGTTCATGAGGGATATTGGACTGTAGCTGTTTTTTTTTGTTGTTGTTTTTCTTTGGAATGTCTGTATAGTTTTGGTATCAGGGTGTTCTGTATTCATGAAGTAAGATGGAAAGTGTTTCCTTCTCCTTGAAGAGTATATGTTGAATTGATAGTATTTCTTTCTTAAAGTAGAATTCACCAGTAAAACCAGGTGGGTCTGGAGTTTTCTTAGTAGGAAGATTTGAATTGTAACTTCACAGTTAATAGGTTAATAGGCTGGTCAGGTTATCTGTTTCTTCTTGTGTAAGAAGCTTTGTTAGTGTTTTTCAAGGACTCTGTCCATCCCTTCTAAGTTGTTAAATTGATTGGTGTAAAATAATTAATAATATAACTTTATTACCATTCTAATGTCAGTAGGATCTATGGTGATATCTCCTTTTTGATGTCAGGCACTGGTGTTTTATATTTTTTTTCTTCCTTGATCAACTTGACTTGATCAGTTTATCTATCTTAATGAATGTTTCATGAACTTGAAAAGATCATATTTAATGCTGCTGTTGGGTACAGTGATCCATAAATGGCAGTTAGGTCAAGCTGGTTGACTTGTTTATGTTGTTTTGTTCATGTCTTCTGTATCTTTACTGGTTTTCTGTCTACTTATTCTATTACTGAGAGAGGTATGTCTCCCAACTACAATTATGAATTTGTCTATTTTTTCCCCTTCAGTTCTATCAGTTGTTGCTTTATGTATTTTGAAGCTTGTTATTAGGTACACATACATTTAGGAAGGTTATTTCTTTTGATGAATTTACCCCTTTACTATTATAAATAAAAATTCCTTTGTTTATCTGGTGTTGTACTCTCTATTCAAAGTCCACTTTATGTGATATTAATTGAGCCATTCCAGATTTATTTTGATTAGTGTTTGAATGGTATATGTTTTCCAACCCTTATAACCTATTTGTGTCTTTATATTTAAAGTTTACTATACAGCATGTATTTTGTTATGTTTTTATCCTGAAAGCTTCTGCCTTTAATTGGACTGTTTAGCTACTGGCCTCATATGGCAGTTAAGGTTCAAATGAATTAAAATTAAATAAAATTGCAGTTTAGTTCTTCAGTTGTACTAGCCGCATTTCACGTGTCCAGTAACCACATGTGGCTGGTGGCTATTGTAGTGGACAACACAGATATAGAACATTTCCATCATGACAGAAAGTTCTGTTGGAAAGCACTGTTTAGACCATTTACATTTAATGTACTCCTCTATTGTCCCATAACAAATTGATGATTTCTTTTTATTTTTTTTAAGATTTTATTGGGGAATTGGGGGAGGAGAACATCGCTGGGGAATCTGGGGAAGGGGAACAGACAAGTTGCTGTCCTTTTGTTCTTCTGTCTAGTTGTGGAGGATGTCACTTCACTGGCCCATGTTGGTATTATCATTGCGCTCTTACCGGGTGAGGCAGATCAGTCGCTGGCCTCTG